CAATGTGCCCGAGTGGAAGGCTTCTAGAGGAATTTCAATAGTGTTTGATATTTTAAAACCTAGTTCTATCCGAGCATACTGTAACCACGAAATGAAGGAATAGCAGCCTTTCAAATAGTGTGCTTTCCAGGCTTCGGTAGAGGGTCTCGCAGGCTAGGGATAAACAGTGCTGAAACGCCGGGGAATAGTCCGCCGTCTCCTGAACTCAAGATTATCTCTGCCTTTCGTTTAGGTTGGGCCGCTTCACTCCACTTCTTCTGAAGACATTTCGAAATTGCGTTTCATATCCCGAATGACCCTTTCGTGAATTAAACTCAATGCAAAGTGCCGCGTGAGTGGAATGCAGCAACCCCCGCCTCATTTCGCTGTCCCGGCCATCTATTGAGCATTTTCAAACTTCTTTACCTTATGCTGATGATCGAGAACAGAACCAAACTAGTCAAACCTTGAACAAATCCGGCCAGAAGGGCAGCTCCACGAGAAGCCACGTAACCACCGTCCTTCATTCGTTGAATTGGGATATCGGTTAATGTGGCAATAGTTTCACATACAAAATCATTTGCCGCTACACCACCACAGATCCTAAACAAGGTAATGAATACAGAAGACATGCTAGCAACAATGTGATAGTTGATTTCTCTAGTACCGTATCCTCGGCTTGCTTAGGATCTCAACCTCAACTCGCATTGTTTCGAATATTTGGTAAACTCGAAAGGCGATCGACTCCAAAATCGCTCGCACCCTAAATCAGACATTGCAAAACGATTGAATCACAGTGATTTCACTGATAAGATTGAAATTGAGATTTCTGGAATCAGTAATACGTCACCATCCCCACATCGTCATCACCTTCTCCAATAAAAAATTTGAATTTGCGCAAAGCATCATTATCCTCACTTTCAAAAAACGAGAAAAGTGTCGGGTGCACACCCATACACCACAAGTGAAGACGACTTCCAAGCAGGGTCAACCCTACGTTGGTACAAGTACCAACGGGGGGGGGGTCGTACCTGGTTGAGTTTGTAGGAGGGGGGGTCGTACCTGGTTGAGTTTGTAGGAGGGGGGGTCGTACCCACTTTAGTCGCTCGAAATCACGTGTGGGAGTGAGGTAAACTAGATTTCGCGGCTGTAGAAGGCTAGAGCGAGTGGAGGATGCCGCGAGGGTGAGGAAAAATTGGGGCGGACGGGGTGATGGGAATGGAAGATGGAGATGGTGGAGGTAGGGAAAAGGGGGTCGTATCAAATCCACGTTGGGGGAGGGGGGGGGGTCGTAAAAAATTTTCGAAAAGTAACAACGATAGGACAGACCCTTCTTCCAAGTAAATCTGGTTAGTAGTGGTTTCTTAGTGAAAGCTGATATTCGGTAAAGGATGGTTGCAATTAGTGACAAATGATAGAATACGACTGCAACAAGCTAACCATTTAATCGGCAGAAAACATTTGCAGTTTATGGAGGCCGTCGTCACTTGTGGTATATGGTCTGTACCTGACGCTCTTCGCGTTTTTTGAAAGAGGAGAGTATACATTTCATACTGTGTACTCCTTGTTGCTGTTATGCCATACAGGTCGCTTACGGTGGGAAAGTTTCATTCGGTTAACCCAGCAACCCCAGTAATTCCGTAAAAAATATCCTCACTAACCCAATCACATTGATGAGAGCGGGACCCGACATTGGACCAAATTCATAGCCCGTGAAAAAGCGTGGCCTGATGTCGAGCTACAGCCTTGTGGCTCTTCTTTTTCACATAAGAACGACTTCGACCGCGATTTCTTATATTTCGAACATAACTTTTGGCACCCAGCAAGCGAACAAGTCAAGAAAGACTAGACCAAAATGATAAAAATTCCAGAAAAGTCTGAGAGTGGAAACTTCAAACTCACATATGAGCTTTTGTTGTATCTGGGCGGATACCTAGAAAACCACAGCAAGCGGTGTCATCATTGATCGGAGTTTGAAGACCTTGAAAATGAGATAAGATACACCCTACAACATAGCGATAGACGGTCGAGATATTATGTTACGCCTCAAAAAATTCATACTAGTATTGGAGATTTTACACAATCGATATCTAAAAAAATTATGCATAAGATGCTCACCGACCGAAAGGCATGCGGAACAAAAGAACTCCATTTGATTCTGAACGTGGTGCCAAAGCAGAATGCGCTGTACCTGTGGACGATCAGCGAAAGAAGAGCTACAAAGACAAGTATCGGACTCGCTTGATAAAAGAAGTTACCATGTCTTTTGTTCTACCGATAAATCATAATCACTCCAATACGAGATAGTGCTTATGTAATCGGAAAACGTCTATTAGCGCACCATCACATTTAGACTAAAAGGGGAGAATTGCTTCTGAGTCGAAATTTTTGTCGAGGATGATTGATAGGCAATAGTTGGGCCTAAGACCCGTGCATCGAAATGCGTCACTGAAGGCGCTAGGGGCCAAGGACTTTGACACGCTCCTCCTGTTGCGACACGCTCCGCCCACCGCTCGATATCTTGTCTGCGTCGCTAATTGATCTGCTATGCTCTCTCTTCTCGGATTTCTCTACCGCTCTCCGCGCTCACATTATCTCTCATCTCCCTGCCGGCCTTTTGAACTTCTCCGCAACGTAGAGCAAAAGGCTCGTATTTCCTGTGTGTATTTCAGGATTTTCCTTTCCTTTTTTCTCCACTGGCGGTCACCCTCCCGCCCCTACATCACATTTGAGTAGAATTACCTCATCCTCGGTGTTTAAAGCCCGGTGAACTTGCCTTGGAACCCTTTGACACTATGGTGGACAGAATGTGTCCACTTCGTAGGCAAGACAACTTACCACAAGTTCCAGGATATTTGAGCAGAAGAGCCCTTCTGAGGGCTGGGAATATGCACATATAGGAGCTTTCTAATTCCTACTATGGCAATTAGTCGTCAGAAGCTAAAGCGAGTCATCCTGCGTAAGTTAATCCTTGACTACTAGTGGTACACATGTGTCCCACTTCGTAGTCAAAGACACTATCACAGTTCCAGGGAAACAGTCGACAGACGAGCCTTGTTGATGGCTGAATATGGAGCACATGTTTAGAAAATTACAATTCTATTCCCATCTCCAAAATCATCCAACAATCCTAAGTCAGGGTCGTTCCCTGGATAGAGTGTAAGCAGTCTTATCCAGGTCACCCTGCGTACAGTAGTTCACATCCTCAGAAGGGTAAATTTTGGAGGCCTCACACCGCTTTATACTTTGATAATAGTCGGTGATGTCCGACTCACACTTAATATGCTAGATCACGTGCAACAAAGCCAACCAATAAGGGATTGGGGGGCATTTGTTAGTGTAGTTTGTTGAGATTTGAGTTTGTTAGTCGCAACAGTCAGTATCGATCTGACGCAGCTACGCGGACTGCGCGATAATGTGTTGGAGATTCGTTCCTCCAGGACTGTCCAGTTTAGCAGGTGCGAATATTAGTCCGGTAGGTAAGACTGCCTATGATGGACGCAGATTTCGGGGGACGAATAAAAACCACGAAAATCGTTCACAAGCATGAAGCCAGTGGTGAAACGCAGCTATGTCAGCGGCACAGCACTCTTACATAAGTGAACGCTTACAATTATTTCGAATGCCGTTCCCGAACCGGACAGTTAGACTTTATTCTAGGAATCAGTGTGGAAAGTGTCTGTATTTTGGTGATCCATTGCTCAGTTAAGTGCTAGCTCTATTTTTTTCGAAATGCGGGCATTCGAACGGTAATGATGGTTTTGCTTCATGTGAAGCATACAGGGACATTACGCGCGTGGGTCCCTGGATCAAATCCCAGCTCAAGCCCAGCACACGTCAGCCAAATTTCTGTAGATGGTCAGTTGTTGCTAGGAGCGAGAGATAATACACAGAACATCATCGACAGTCCGGTGTTTTAAGAATAAGCCGTACAGCTCTAAAGATTAAGCTCGAAATGGTCTGGAGCGCACGTGTGGTGAATATATTACGCCTGAAACGGGGGAATAAGCTACTAAATACCCATTGTTTTACTACTGACTGTTAAAAATCATTAATTTTAGGTTGGCGCGATAGGAAATGTTCGTTTCCTGTCGTATAATGGTTATCTAAAAAACTCGCAGCTCAAAGATGTATTGAGCACCTAAATATATTCTCCAGTTTTCGGTGATCAGCTACTCATATTCCGCTTTTTATTTCACTGCAAGCACAATTGGCTTCTGAAATACGGTCAAACGTTTGACTTGTTTAAATTTCAGTTCCAAATGTCCGTGGCTGTATCGTAGCAAAACTTGCATGCGATAGAATTTTTTATTAACCTTCAATGTGTTCCACTTATAGGGAGTTACTGCAATAGAAGTTCGACCAAAATGACCTGCTATGGCTAAGAGAAGCCAAACTCGCTTAAATTCACTAAGTAGATAATTAATACGATGAGTTGTTTCAGTAAAAAAAAATATAACTTGCTATGCAAATAGGTTTGTAATCACTTCTTTTACTGTTTTCATCCACGTGTTCACGTTAATGAAAAGAAAACGAGGAATGAACAGGGCCGCCATTTCCGTACGGTCTGAAAGCCTCTACCAACCCAAAGAACATTTGATCCTCTTATGAGCCATACACCGCGTCGCCAGCAGCTGCGCCGCGGCGAACCATCTCAAAATGGACAAAAATGAAATTATTATACAAAATGGACCTACCTATGCTTTGAGCCCATTTCAGCACTACAGCCGTGTCATGGTCATTTCCTTCGGCTACAAACACAGGTACATTGTTCACACGCCAGCCAACCAACGGATATAGCCCTGAGAAAATGCGTGCTTGATCTACCAAATGTTTCGCCGATTTCCATTAATGTACATTATGAAAACTTCGAATAAATTTAATTTAGACGACTATACCATTCATGGATGCGTGGATGGTACCACCGGTGTTCAGATCGACAAAAGTGCCAGTTCCGAGTGAAATCTGGAATGAACACTTCGATGCTCCGCAGATGAAAATCAGCATTCAAAAGCGTCCCCAGTTCATCTTACCGCCGTCCAACACCTATCCTTACCACGGCTAACGTTGCACAATGAATAGCTTTATTCAGTTAGAGGTCCTACCGAAGTCAAATTTCGACATTCGCTGTGTCAACATCTCGAAATTTTAGCTGAATAAAGCTATTGTGCGATGTTAGCCGTGGTAAGCATGGGTGTTGGACGGCGGTAATGTTTCCATGATAAAACTTGTCTCACTGACGTAACTTTTTGTCAGCATTGAATTAAAACCAGTGTTAAATGAATCAGTATCAAATACCTTAATGTCACCCGGCCGCCATCCTCCAGTTCCATACAATGCTGACTGTTGATCGGCAAGCTGAACGTTATAGATGCGGCGAAGAAAATCTCCATAAAATCATATTCATCTCTTTATAGTAAATTGGCTGAGCCCGGTTCTGAGGCCGATGTCAGATTTTGCGAATCGAGCGATTCGCTAGCGTCTGCGGTCGCGTCGCGGTACAGCGAATTGCTCGATTGGCTGGTACCGCGACGCGACCGCGGACGCGAATCGCGCGATTCGCAAAGTCTGACATCGGCCTGAGACAGCCCAGAGCAAGAACGTTGTAGTTAGAGGTAAGCGCTAGTTAACAGCCGATCACATTTGGGGGACCCGATGGGAACGGGAACGGTTTGCAACAGTGGACGGTACTCACTAAGAAGCCCACTCGATTGCGAGACAGCCTAGAATATTCGCGGTAGGCGGAGCGTGAGCGGGGTGGGCGGGGCTAAAAGCGAAAATCCGCGGCAGGCATTCCTTGCTTGGTCTTTCTTTTTTATTCAGCGAAGTTTTTCACTATGTTCTTGACCATTTAAATCTGGGAAGAGTTCGGAGCTTTCTTATATTTTAGAGCTCACATTTTAGAAAAAAAAATCTAGAATGACAGCTCAAGCTACAAAGACAAAAAAAGCAACAAATTATGAAACCACACTATACAATGAAACAATGAAAGCTGTACAGAATACTGACCACCGTGTGTAT